CTTGTTTTGGTTAAAAAACAAAGTGGGTCGATTGGCAGCGACTTCTAAAAACACACATGAATGTTTCTGTACATAATCACCTTGATTTCCAATCAAGCGGCTGAAAAATGAAACCAATGCAAATGTGTAAACAAACAAACAACCTGCCGTTCTTCTGAATGTCCATTTGAGGCTGACTATGAACGTGAGTCAGTCCCCACAGACTCCGACTTTACAGCAGAAATAAAATGTTTACAGCCTGATGCTAAAATTGTTTTGGCCTCTGTGGACGTTTGTCTTCATTCATAATGTGGCTGCTTTGACTGACTTGTGCTTACACCTGCAGCTGTTAGCTGTGCTGGCTCCACCTTCTCAAATTCAAGTCACTGAACTGGACCTCAACGCCTTGTTGGAGCATTTTAGTGCAATTATCAGACAAATATTATGATGCAGGTTACAGGTCGTCCAACCTTTGCTTCGGAAAGACCAACATGGTGACGGCCAAAACACTCACGCTCGATTTTCAAAACCTAAAATCCAGAAACAAGCTGGTAAACCCTTCTCTTCCATGAAATGAAATTAGGGTATCATTTCTACAGTGGCACGTTTATCCAGTACTTGTCTTTACATCAATGAGAACAAAGCAAAAAACTTAAAGCTCACAGGTTATTCTGCAAATATTTCTTGGTGCTGGTTTGCCAAGTTGCACTCAGTGAATCAGGGAAACATTAAACCTTCTGTTTATATCCCATAAAACCAGATAAAGAGACTTAATATCATCATATTTTCTCTGTTGTGCAAGGAGTATTACATTTTTATTCATTTTTTAGAATCTACTGAGTATGTCTCAGATGCCAATAAAAGGAAATTTAAGAAAGTCTAGCTGCTAATATTTTATTCATTCAGCCCAGCAGAGTTTTTTGTCGGTTTTATCCTCATGCATTTAAAGTTCTGACTACTCAGCTAAACTCTCCTCTTAGCCTGGAGTGAATTAACGCTCTGATTCTTGGAAAATGTGTAATTTATTTATTCCCACAAAGGCTGAGTGTGCATCTCATCCTAGCCAGAGGTTTCAGGAGACTCTGAGACACTGTCTCCTCTATCATGTCCTCACAAGGACTTTTCATGACATCCGAGAGCTGCTCTACCAACAGTCCTTTGATATAAATAGACTATTTCCATGGCAACCGAGTCATGGCGGTGCCCGCGGAATAAAGATTGATTTTCTCTCGTGTCTTCGGTCAAAGTTCTTGACATTCAAGGATGTCACAGAGGAAGTGAAACACAGAAACATAGTTTCACACTTTTCAGACGCTAACATCCTCCATCTGTTTACATCTGCTTAATTATAAAATCCATTTGTGCATTTAACTGTGACCTCACTCTTCACCCTTTGTGAGTGCAGCGGCGCTGTAGTAATGCCGTCAGGGCAGGAGTGCAGCTAATAAATATATGCAGACCTATGAGTCACTTTAGCAAACGAAGACAGTGAGTGTTTCTCACTCGTGACTCTTCTTTCCTGATTCCATCTGCATATTCACAAACAGCTCACCTACGTCCTCATTGCAGACTTCATAATGCCCGCCTTCAGGTCTGAATAATGAAGCTGGTGTGGAAGAGCCTCAAAGCTGTATTCCTGCTAATGACCAGCAGGGGCAACGCCCTCTATACTTTGATTGCACCTGTGAGGAAAATGACCCTACTTCTCAATTGATCTTAAACCAGTGCAGACAGTTTCCTGATGAGCTCACAACTTTGGCTGTCAAAAGAAAGCGACAACAGCACAAACAAATTTAGCCAGCATTAAAGGATGTGAGGAGAAGCTCAAGCGTTCGTTTGGTTTCTGCAAATCTGTTTTAAACTTGGCATTTTTCAAAGCTTCCAGCAGCTCAGATATTTATTTTTATTTGCAAAACCGAAATCTGGCAGAACAAAAATCCACAGCAGTCTTTTCTTTGTCTCATGTATGAAACATGTTATTTGGACTCTGAATTCTGTGCAACCTGCGACTGACATTACAAACACACTCAGAGTGCAGCTCAGTGATGATTACATTTCTGAATTTCTGCTGGTTTTCTACCATTTTCACACATTTTCACATGTAGTTGATCAAATTCAAACCAATATGAGCTCTAGGACTGAAGTTTTGAAAAAATACTCTCATGCGTGCCCCCCTCCTCCCATCTGAATGAGCTTTTCGAAGTGTAATCCTCATTCTTTCTGTGTCCTCCTCACCTGACTGCATCCATCCACATAACTGAACTAAAGACCCTTTCAAGCCCTTTTCTTCCAGCTCTGTGCATCCAACCTGTGTGAAGTGACCGAGCACCAACAATCGTTCCTTCTGTGATGTTGTTTCTCCCCACTAACATGGACCTGCAGGGTCCACAGGCCTAATCTGTTTCTCCCCCAAAGAGAACCAGGTTCAGACTTGTTTTTTTCCAACCTTGTTAAAACCTTAAGCCTTGTCTTTTTATTTCTGGCTGCCCAGAGGCCAGCGGGGAAACATCAATGTGTCATTCAAAGTATTCATGCAGAGTCACTCCTCGTCTTCCCCGCTAAGCTGAAAATCCGCCTCTTCAAGAATCACCTCACGTCACCCGGCGACTCGGCTGCATCCCACCGCCTCGCCCACATCTCCTCCCCTCCTTCACTCCTCTCTACTTCATCCACACATGAATAGGAAAGCTTCAGCCTGTTTCCAAAGCAACACGATGACAATGAAGTGACACTTTGACCTTTGCAATCCTTATTTCTACTAGCATGACGCTAAAGCATCTCAGCCTGAAACTTTATCTCCATGTTGGCGTTTCTAATGTTTCTGAATCCAGTGCAACAGGAAAGAGTCTGAAAACCTGGAACGACTTTGACATTTTTGCACTTCTGCTTCTTCTGTCTTTTTTTAAGGTTTTATTTTAAATTCATGTCTCTTGTTAATGTCGATGAGGCTAAACAGGATTCAGAACCTGTGGAAAGGAGTGCTGGGGATGCTGCAGCGCTCCGTGGATGATTGCAGAAGAACTTGAGAAGAAGTTTGATTTGTCATTTCATTTTCATGTTTTATTTTATTGCAGTAAGTAAGTGATCAAACTATCATGAACTTATATATCCCACAGAGCGTCTCCAATATTCCAAAACCTGCTTTTGGCTGAGGGAAAAGTTCAGGACTTCTGGAGTGTGATGTAAAAGTAGCAGATGCTGAAAATGTGCCCGAGAAAGGTGTTTCTGACTTTTACAGTTACTGGAACATATTTTTCAGCGCTATGTCAGCCTTTTGTGTGTCTTTGGTTGTGCTCGCAGCCAACATGTTTGCAGCTTGGGAAAGTGAGAAAATTACTGTTGAAGGAGAAGCTTTTTAATGGACTACTGCTCTCAACACCAGACAGCATCAGCTGTGTCGGTCGGATCAGTGCATCATGACTCAGATTTGTTCTGAACCTCCATCACAGCCAGCGTGACTAATCCAGCAGAGACACGTTTGGCTAAAAGCGTGCCTGTAAAGTTTGAGTGAACCTCCAGTTCTCCTCCTCTGTCACAGTGAGCTTGGTGTGATCACACACTGACTGCGGAGGTGAGAAGGAAGCAGGGCAGCTTTCAGCAGCAGCGAAGGACGACAGCTGCTGAAAACATGGAATCGTTCCCTCACGTGTGTCCCGATGTTAGCCATGAAGCCCCCTCACATGAAGGCGGCAAAGATCTCAGGTTTTGTTTTACTCAAGGACACTTCAGCGGGGGGGGGTGTGGCAAGGACCAAATCTGTGACCCTCTGTTTATAAATGTTAACCTGCAGCGAATGAGGTTACACGCTGCACACCGTTAGCCTGGTCTCTACCTGGATGCAGCTCCTGGTAAAATAACAATAACACTATAAATAAATAAAAACCTTTAACAGGTTTGAATATTTGTGTCATCAAACATTTGCTGTTTGTAATTAATAAATATAATAATTCATGTAAAGTTAAAATATTTCTTTATGTCTTTGTTTTACTTTTTAATCATTGCTTACACTATCAATGTTTATAATTACGTTAGTGTTGATAGATTCAATATATTTGAAGCTCATGCTTTTGTATATTTATTGGCCTTTTTTTTCTTATGTTAAATGTTTTATTACTAAAATAATCAGAAGACTCATTGAAAGCAGAAATATTTTATCGTTAGTTAAATAACAATAAAGTTATGGTCATTGTTGATGTCCTCAAATTCTTTGTTTCCAAAGTGTGATCATAGTAGGGATATTTAAAAGTGATAAATATATGTCTAGAACATTTTTTTATTGTCAGTGGGAGAAAAAAAAATCAATTTTAGTTTTTTCTGACATTTTAAGGCTCAAACGACCTTCACACCAGCTGATCGGCCGTAAGACCGTTTGTCTGTGACGTTAAAGCCATCATCACTAATAATTACCCCTAAGTCTGTGCCATCAACAATGGGACTTTCACTTTAAAATCGTTCTCTGATATCTTCACAGTCGAATGAAAAGTTTAATAATTCTGCTAACACACTTTGCGAACTAGTCACATTTCCATTTCAATTTTATTTTTATCGCGACCAATCACAACAATAATTGCCTCAAGGCGCTTTATGTTATGAGACCTAACAATAACAGAGGACCCAAAAGTCATTTTTTCTGTTAGGATTCGACCAAACCTCTGATCCTGTGATGGTTTAGGCCTCGCAGGGTTACTCAGCAGTTTGTGTGATGTTTATGAAAGAAAGAACTTGGTTCGCTGTGACTCGTTGTTTTTTTTTTAATACTTTTGCATACCTGCGTCGTGTTTCTGGAGCAGAAGTTTCTGAAGGTCCTCCACATCCTGCATGTCTGCAGGTTATATTTACAGTATTTGTGAAAGAAAACTGTAAAACGTCAAAAAACAGCTGAGATTAGTATCAGTGTGTGCGCCACTGCAAGCTGGACTCAATAATGTGTGCGTGTGTGTGTGTGTGTGTGTGTGTGTGGCTACATTACCCTTGGCTAACTGGCTCACTATACAGACCGGAATACGTTAGCATAATAATATCAGTGTATACACAATGTACAGTGCCGGTGTTTACTTGTTAAGGCATATCGTATCCTTACATGACATAAATAACATCAGTGTACATATTATACAAATAAGTGATGTCATTAAAGGTTCAATCCACTCAAAAACATCCACAAGTCACTTTAATGTTTCTTCTTTAAGATGAAATCAGCTTTTTACCCATTTTAGGCTTTTGACTCTTTCATAGACGTTCGGATTATAATCAGTGGTGGAGTGTAACTAAATACATAGGCTCCGGCTTCCCTGTGCCCCTGAATTGGATAAGGGGATGGATGGAAGTTGTGTAGGCACAAGTAATTAATTCTGGGAACCCACTGGGATGTCTGATAACTTAGCCACTGGGTATAATGGCTAATTTTGTGGTACCAGCCAGGCCACGATTTCCATTTGTAATTTTTTTATAATTAATAAAAAACTGTCATAAGATACTACACAATGGTTATCTAATATACTTTGACAAATGTAATCCTGCATTTCCTCTCTACATGAACTGTTTACCCGCATCTATCCAAAGCCTGCAGTACAAACAGAAACCAAAAGGCTTCCTGTCCCAAAAATGTCTTCATACTCATACAGAATCTGTTTATAGGGATCATTATAAATTAAACACAAGTAGAGCTCAAACATTAAGTTATAGAAGTTAATTATTTTTGCCCCATGTCCTTTAAATTGTTTTATTAGCATTTTTTCTCCTACAGTTTTTTACTCGATAAAATAAACACTCACTCTCTTTAACACCAACATTACTCTCGGTTGTCTAAATGTACAAACGAAACAATGGATCTGTGCTTTGTAATCAGCGTGAAGTTTGCAAAAATGTGCACAATTACTATCAAGGGAGCCAATTCTGCTCACATCCTGCTTCATATTTTTGTTCTCTGCCAAAATAGCTTTGCATGATTTAAAGTTCAAAATAATCCTTACTTATTTTAAACTGGATGTTGCCTTGAAAATAGAATATATTTAAAGGCAGGTGGGCGGGGCTTCTGTGCTCTCTGAATGAAAAGACCATATGAAGGATTTCCTTTCTTTGTGACTTCATACAAACCAAAGCTGAGTATTGTGACTTTCCATCACTGTAACAGGATATATGACAGAAAATAAGGATTTACAACAGGTCCCCTTCGAGTTAACGCAGGACTTCTTTCTTGTGTTTAGTACTTTTTCTTAAGTAAAGATCTGAAGTGTTTGTCCACCACTGATCATAAAAACTGCTCAGTCGAAAAAAGTTCATGCGCACTTTCAAATGATACAAACCATAAAGTCTATGTAAGTCTAGCGTGTAGCACAGGGTAGTTTTATATAAATATGACTTCAAGTTCTGGAGAAGCAGCTGCTGCTTATAGATGAAGTTTCCCTCTCTGATGGAGTCTCTGCTGTGGAAGCTGATGCTCACAGAAAATGCTGATCAGTAACCATGAGGCAACAGTTTTGGATGATGCAGCACGAGACACCAGATATGTGACACAATACTTATTGTTGATGCTGCATTCACTGACACTTTTTATGTAAAACAGGCTTGTTGGAGAAGTCGATTTTTACACACTTTCTTTTTTGGTTCTGTCGCTTGCAAAAATGAATGTGACCCCTGTTAAATTACTCATTGTTGTGGCTTAAAATTTTGATTTTGAAATGCTTCTGTGATAAAACAAAACAAACAAAAACAAAACAACAACAAACAAACTGTGTTCTTCATCTAGTGTCTGCTGTGATAAAACAGCCGTGATTTCCAACCAAGATCTGCTCAGAAACTGTTTGTCAAAGAGAAAAATAAGAAAATAAAAGAAATCATTACAGACAACTATGCTCTTTGACGCCTGGAGCAATGCTTTCTGGGTAACGTGTATCACTTCTGCACCTGCCAGGCTAACACCTCTCATCGTTACCTCCTAGCTCTCGCTGCAGCCAGCCAAACGTTAAAGCTGCATTAAGCAATTTCTGACCACAAGGGGGCATAATCAGCTTTTAAGCTGGTGAGTTAAAGACAGACCATGCACAGAGGAGTATTTCTCACTGGGCTGCCATTTTCTGTACTTACAGTGAGAGAAAGCAGCAGCAGCATGTGCTGTGTGGTTATAGACAGATGGATTCTGGACGTTTGAGGCCAATAAGAGAATCAATATTTGATGGCTTAAAAGTTCCCCGTGGAGGTTTTTTCCTGCCTCTGCTAAAAATCTGCTGGCAGAATATCAACAAAGACACAAACAGCTGTGAGGAATCTGTGATTTTAAGAAAAACTTTCTTTTTATCATCTGAACATGAGCATTTCACCCGACACCTTTACAACAAATTAACTGAAAATTTAAGAAAGCTTGCAGCGTCAGATCCATTATTAGCTAAATCTGCAGCTCCTCTTAGATTTTCTGAGCTTTGTAAAAGATTTCTTCTTGTTTAGGTGTTTGTCAAAACCCTGATAGACAAAGCCAGAGGTGAGCTGGCGACCACAGGGCAGTGACGAGCAGCAAAAGAACAAGGTAGAGAGGGAATAATGGAGGAAAAAATAATCACAAACACAAGCAGAAATGAATCATAATGCTACTCTACAACTCTGATCAGCCCCAGCAGGCTGGCATTATAGAGAAAAAAAGGCAAACATCAAACGGGATGAAGTGGGAACACAGTGGAGCTTTTAGCAACTAAAAAAGATCAAAAACAAACTCCAACAAGGTCCCATTAATCATGTGGGCACAAAAATCAGCAATTATATGATAATAAATTTATATTACAAGTAAGCAAAGACAGTTTTACTACAAAAAAGTCACAGAAATATCAGATGGAACGAATTGAGACCTTTTCCAGCTTGAATCCACCTCCCAACATTAAACCACATCTGTCTGTGCGGCCAGAAAAACAAAACAAGCAGCTAAAAGGAGCCAAGCGAGCTCTGTTCCATCTTTTTAATCAGTCACTTATTTTGCTTAATGCAGGTTTAAACTGAACATTTTAAGCTTTTTTTTAGGGTTTTCTGCAGTTAACCTTCTGCATTAATGGCTGGAGGTGAACATCGCCAAGCTTTCAAAACTGTTGCCTCTGTTTTTTGTATGACTGCGAGTTGCTCTTTCTTTTACAGTAATTTACTGTGAAGTCTGTTATAGTGCTATTCACAGCAGCGTTGCAAGCCGAGTATTTAGTGTGAGTGTGTTAAGGTGAACCTGCTGGTTAGGGCTTAAAATATGGCTAGATTTAATTACCGAACTTCCTTTCAGCATCAGTAAAGAATTTTCACAATAAAATGTTAATCTTACTTTCTGCGGTGCTTTATATCATAATGTGCTTTATATTGTATGAATCTGATTAACATACTAGGATTCAAAATCTTCATTTTAATCTTTGATATGCATCCGTTCATGTCCACATGTGCTCTTATCCACATTGCCACAGGCTTACCTCTCGTCTTCCACCCAGTTGAGCCCTCTGTTGTAAAGTCATACATCCCTTGTGATTGGTCAGAATAAATATCCCTTAAGCTCAGTTCATCCCTACATGCCGGGTAACAGCTCCGGCAGGAAGTCTCTTGCTTAAGATGGGGTTCTCCCCTCGGCACAAACGGGCGACCTGCATCCCCATAATGCACCTGGGGGATCGCGCAGAGGAAGGCAGAGGGTGGAGCTAGTTGACTCCACGTGCAGCAGCAGCAGAAGAAGAAGCAGCAGGAAGAGAAGGAGGAGGGTTTTTGCTTGGTCCCGGTACTGATTTAGAGTCCCGGCTCGGCTCTGGCTGTACGTTATTCCGCGTCTCTGCGCATTCCACCAAAACCTCCTCGCCTCCATCCCCGCCCTCACCTAACCTTGCCTCTCCAGTCGCCAGCTGCTTCATCCTCAGGTTGATGGAGCCGTAAGTCCTCTTGGGTCGAACGAATGCCGCCCTGCGTCGGTACATCTCGCCCCGGCAGATGGACACCATGAGCAGCACGGACAGGAACATCCCTCCCAGGGTCAGCAGGCCCAGGCCCGCGATGATGCACTTATCCAGGTGGGAGCCAAGCTGGGCGTAGTACATCTCCAGCTTCTCCATCTGTCGAGCCGAAACTGAGTCAGGGTCGACTTTGGGCTCCCGTGGGATGGTGTAGGCGATTACCACAAGGACGATCCCACTCACGAGGAACACCAGCGCCAAGATGAAGCCATAGTCTGCCGAGTGGTCATCAACGGGGCGAAATTCAGTGAAGTCCTGACCGTCCTCCTGACCTCCACCTGCTCCACCCCCGCCTTCCTCCTCATCATACGACTGTGGTGAGATCTCCTGACGATGATGCTAGTGAGAAAGGGAGGAAGGAAACAAGGAAAGAAGAGAATAGAGGAAAGAAAAATATAGAAATAAGAACAGAAAAAGGGGGGAATGAAGGGGTTAAGGAAAAGACAGAACAGATAAAATCATAAATAAAAGCACAAGGAAAGAAGGAGCGAATGAAGTGAAGAAACAGAGGGAAAGGGAAAGGGAGCAGGAACCGAAAGAAGGAAGGAATAAAGGGAGATAGGGAGAGGGAGGAAAGAAGGAAGGGAAAAAAGGAAGGTAGGAACAACAGACAGGTGAAGACAAAAAGAAAAATGAAAGAAGAAAGGGTCAAATAAAAAAGGAAGTAGGGAAAGGAGGAAACAATGGAAAGAGTAAAGAAAAGAAGGAATATGAAGATAAAAGAAAGTAAAGATGTGACACAAGAAAGAGAATTTGAGAAAGAAAGAAAAGAAGCAAGGAATGAAGTGGAGAGGGAGGAAAGAATTAGAAGAAGAAAACACAAGGAAAGAAAGAAAGAAGGATGAGATAAACAAGCCAGAGCACAGCGCTGAGGTCAGCGTTCACAGAAAGCAGTGAGATCACATCCAAAGAGGAGAAAATGCGTCGGCGCGACGACCTGTTACTGATGAATGTCGCCGACGTGTGTCAGTAAAAGCTGTACAGATACAGATGAGCTCCGTGGAGTCGTGACAGTCTAACAAACAGCACAAACAAAATAAAAGCCCGGGCGGGAGAGTGATGTCACCCCAAAGGCATCTAAACAGCAATCAGTACAAAGCCATTTTCCAATTAAGAAGGAAGCTTAAATCTGTTTGTTTCCTGAAGACAAACATGCCAGAAAACCCTGGACAAGTTCTTTTTCCAGGCCCGCAGCTGTACGCCAGCGTGTGTTTGTCTCTTCTCACAGGGTTCATCTTCCAAAGAGATGCCTGTGAAGCTGGATTTCTGGCTCAGGTTAGATTTGGAAGGTTACATCACTTTTGGCTACGGGGTTCGCTCTGTAACCCGAATCTGCCGAGGTCACATAAGGACTGTTTTAAGCGACTGCTTTAAAAACATCCAAAACAAATGTCTGCCACAACCACCAAACCCCACCGCGCTCACCTTACTGTTTCCTGATGTGGAAGGCGGATAACTCGTCGGCTGTTGCTCCTGCTGACGGAGGTCCTGCTCCTCATCCTGCTCGTAGGAGGCGTTCTCAAAGCCCCGGGCGGAGCAGCCCAGCGTTGCTGCTGTCCAGGGTGCTGAAGTCGGTGTCGGAGACGGGCCTCGCCGGGCTCCACTCCCTCGCAGCTCCCGGAGCTCTACGGTGTTGAAAGAGGACTCCATCGATATGTGCTCATGTCTTCATTGGACCTCCACTCGGCTTTATCCTCACTGAATAAATAGATTAAATATTATATGATTCATGACACATATGAAAGGAGTTATATAATCCAACGGAGCCCGACTTGACCTACAAAAAAAATCATTTTCTGTGTCTCTGGTTAAGACTGGATTGATCGTAGGCTCACATTAATAACATGTAGCCTTATAGTTTATTTATCAGTCATGGTCAGAAGTGGTTCTCAAGTTGTCAAAGGGTTACTTCAGATCCATCCCATTTTTTAGGAATCTTTGTAAAATTTCCATAAACGTACACATGAATTCATCGATGAACTGGTTAAACTTTTAACGTTCAAAGAAGAATCTGACTTCCTGTTTACCCTAATATTAAGCACACATCCTCTACTTTGTTCTACAAACGCACTGGGCCTCCAACACCTCACACCTACAGGAGCTGCTGTGTTGTGGAAACCCAGCAGTGCAGATTTTGTGCTGATGATGATGTCAGAGGAAGTTTGGTCAGTACGTACTGGCCAATCCCTGCTGTGGTTCCTGAATGCATCCACTTTGCAATAATACCACTTACAGCTGATTATGGAAACTCTATGAAGGAAGAAATTTCATGAACTGACTTTCTGCAACAGTGGTATCCTGTTAGAGTGCCACACTTGAATTGAGTGCACTCTTCAGAACGACCCATTCTTTCATAAATGTTTGTAAAGGCAGACTACATGGCTCAGCCTTCGCTCAGTGTTTATGCTCCTTTTTCTTGGTTCACCTCAGCGATCGGTAGTTTTCTTAAGGTTGAGCTCTTTTCAGATTGCACATGTAGAAATGCTTTTTATTCAACTGAATTTCTTCTGTCTTCAGAGATGATGGTTTAACTCTATCTTTCCAGGTTTTAATAACACATTGAACAGTTCTTAACCAGCTGTAGTTGCTTCAGTGTTTCTGTTTGGTTGTTTTCTTTGCTTGATGCAGGTCAATAATTTGATCCTCATGAAACAGAGTAACATGTTTTCCACTATGGGCTGTGTCTTCCTACGTGGTTGTTTAAGAAATGAGAAGCAGTTAGGATTGCATAACCTGCTGGCAGCTGAAACATATTAATAACTGCAGTAATTAAACACTGGATAATAACTGCTGACATTGTTTTTGACCAGGCAGTTTGTGTTACTGAGCTCTGTGCTGCAGACTCAAAATAAACACGTTAGTTAAAACTCATCCCTGACATTATTTCATTTTATTCTGAGGCAATGAGTTTGCATATTTTTAGGACATTTATAACAAGAAGTGACTGAGAACAAGTACAAATCAGCTCAAAATGAAAACTACACGTCTGTGTACTCATATATATATTAATCAAAACTAATTCCAGCGATTTATGATAATTTGATTACTTTTAATGGGTCTGTCTCACAAATGCATTAAAATAACATTTTTACTTTCAAATGCAAATTTTTACTCGACTGTTTTCACATTTGCTCAAGTGAAATAAACGTCTCGCTTCTTCTTCCGCCTCAGTGAAACCAGAAGAATCGTGCACTATTTGTCACACCTGAGAGGGGATTCATCCTGCAGGCCTGCTGTCTCCACACCACCTGCAGACAGGAATCCATCACACATTTAATCACACACGTCTCACCTTCATGGTTATTCATTCCCATTTCTTCTCCCTGTCATCACTGTCGCGCTGACACTTCTCCCGGTGATGGAGAGTTAAAACCAGCTAAATCCTAAAGTAAAGGAAGAGAGAGAGATGTTTGCAGCTGATTTCAATTCATTGTAAGCTCTTTAAACCAGGTCAAGGTGAAAACTGATATATGTGCACAGAGATGCGTTAACAGCAGGGAGCAATTTAAACAAAGTGAGACAATTGCTTTAACCTCCTAGGACCTGCCGTCCACATATGTGGACATCACATTTTTGGTTATTTAGACTAAAATACTCAATTTTGCTCTACATGCGCCTGATATCCACTTACGAGGACGTTATACTGCTACTGTTCTATCAAAACTTTAAACGAATATCCTCATATGTGGCTCTTATTTTTCTTAGAAACAAAAATAAGGTTAAAAAAATCTGGTAATTCTCTGTTTTTACATTCATCGGGCCCCAATGTGACCAAATATCAAAGAGAAATTAGAAATGCATGCTGTGAAAGAGTTCGGGTCTTAGGAGGTTAAAAATGCACTGAGTTATTTATTTTTGTTTCACAGAGAAGAAACTGTCTGCCTGTGCTGGTTAACACCTCAGAGCCCCGGGTGTGATCCTTATCAAGCACAAGCTGGTGTGAACATTAAAGAGGCTCGATAGCTCAAGTCTGAAGATCCAATGTGGGAGTATAAAAAACGCTTTTAGTTCATAGTCAAAATCAACCCAATTTGATAAACTGATCTCAAGTGGGCAGGAGAGTTAAAATGACTGGATAATAAAAGCTATTAAATAGTCTATTAAAGTCTTTGTTTTAATGAATTTTTAAAATTGAATGGCACAAAACAAGGCAGGGACCCTACAGGAAATCAGAGCGTTTGATTAAAAATAAAGTGTAGCGTAAAAAACATTACAGAAAAAATGGCCCCACAAGCATAGAAAACAATGTTTCATGTTAAGCAATGTTTAATAATGTTTTTCAAAGTGGTGAAAGAAGTTCTCCTTAAGTAAAAGCTATAATCAGCTGTTACAATCATACTGTGCAAGTCTTAAACCTTATTAGTCCCTTATTTCTTTAGATTTTGCTTCCAAGGATCCAGAATTTCTGAAAGTCTTTCAAAGTTTTTCTTTAGACCTTGGCTGCTTTAAAAAACTTTTTTTGCTCAGCCACTTAACACTGACCCATGAATCATTCAAGCATAAAATGGGACCAGTGTTGTGTCTCCAGGCAGCTCAGCAAAAAACCAGTGGTTTTGCCAAAACTGATGCAAAGGCATCTGATGGGCAACGGCATCATTTTCAACATCCCAAACACAATAATGTAATTTCCTCTACACAGCACTCAGTCCCTAACACAGGATAACACATTCATATTGATATTCTTAGATATGTAATATATGAAGTAATTAATGCTTTACAATAAATGGTATGAAGTAAAAAGCACTAAAATACTGACATCCAAAATACAGTGGAGTAAAAGTAGAAAGGAGCAACGTCCATTAAAATTATTCTTTAGTAAAGTACTTGAGTAAATGTACTAAGTTACAATCCACCACAGCTTGTATCCATTTCCTTCTAGTATAATTGTCCTGCTCTGGGCACGCCCCTGCTCTAAAGAAAATAAATGCAATGTAAACATGAAGTCTGACTGTTGTTCTTCTTACACGCGCAGGGATATTCACAGCGGCTCTTTAAAGGCAGAAAACATCTCCACGCGGAGTGTTTTGTAACCGAATGAGCAAAATATTACTTCTTTGTAGACCAGCAAAGCAACTTATTAACAATTATTCATCATTATGAATGACTTCCCAACAGCAGGCCACATGTTAGACAGGGCTGCTCTAACACAGCACAGCCTTTTCACCAAGCTGTGATTTCTGCTCCACAAAGCAGCGCATCACTCGTCTGTAATCTCCGGGGAGCTCCGGGCTAAAGTAGCCCACTGACACACTTCTCGTTTATCATCAGAGCCCGCCTCGATGGATCACATCTGGGAGCCCGAGTGCCCATGAGCAACCCGTCATTCCACCCTGTGGCTGTGCTCCAGCACCACCGTGACCTTGCGATGCGCCAAGCTGCCAAAACCTGAACCAGTGCACTCCGCCTGTGTGTGTGTGTGTGTGTGTGTGTGTGTGTGTGTGTGTGTGTGGAGATGATATCAGGATGAACCAGGGCAGATAAGCACCACACTGACTGACACGCTTTTCATTACCCCGAGCAGACGGCAGATAACACGGACCAAACGAGGAAGGAGAGTCCGAGTCTGCGATGATCGCATTCAGAGGTAAATTATGCAACCAGGCAGCGACTCAAGTGCGGATTTCTCTGGAGGGAAACACCGGGAAACGAGTCAGTATCCAGGCAGGCAGCATCCACCCCGCGCTGCATCCCAGAAACCCGAGAGAAAAAAAACAAAAAGAAAGGAAAAAAAGCCTCGATCACTTGCAGGGGCACCGATGAGAGGACCGGAGCACTGAGAGCGGGCAGTGATGGGGATGACAGCGGGGTCTTACCTGGTGCCCAGGGCGCGACCAGACAGGAATCCGACGGCTGTGGACATCCGGAGAGATGGATGCTGCTGGATGATGATGAGTGAAGAGGACGGAGAGCGAGAGAGGGAGAGAGAGAGGCGAAAAAATGACTGAGGTGAAACTGACCATGCGCAAAACCAGCTCGTGGCTTTCCCTGCTGGTGTCTGCTGAGCTGAGCTGGTGGTGGTGGAGTCACAGGAACCTCTCCACTCTGCGCCTTTTGACCTACATCACTTCACGACATTTTCCCTAATTTAATGAGGCAACAGCGCCCCCAAACCAAACTGCAGCCTGTTAATTGAGGCGTTTGTGATCTGACAGATCTGATTCTTCTCCAAAATCAGGAAATCAGGGAGTGATTTTACCTGAAACTGGCAGAAACCCTGAAAGAAAATATTCTTAGTTCATGAGTAATTTTAGTGTTAAAGAATTTTTTAACATTGGATATTTAAGTTTCTTCATTTTGGTGTCAAATTTACGTCTTTACCAAATCCCTTTATGGCAGAAATTTATTTATTTTTTTAAGTAAAGAAACGACAAAAATCTCCCATCAGTTGAACAAATATTGCTTTTTTTCTTTCTCATTTAGTATTATCTCTGCGGAGGCAACACACAACCTTCTACACATTCAAAAGATGTCACACATTTCTGTGTTTTGGGAGGATTTTTACCAGTCAAGCACATCTAAACTCTGTTATTGAGGCTGATGGAAAACAAGAAGAAAAGACAACATTATATGACAGTTAGTCACAAAACGAATGTTGGACTTCCTTCTGCATTTTCTCTGAATCCTTGTACGTCTGAGGATACGTGTGTTTACCACAAAAGACATATTGTCTAGTAAAATGTATTAAATTGTATAGAAAAAAGGGAAGCATGTCTATTATGTCATCCATTTCTACCAAAATGATGCTCAAAATTTCCAAAAGAAAAATTTGTCCAAAATGTAATTTTTGGCCTGCAGGCTGATAGAACCATTATTTACTGTAGACAATCTCTCAAGAGCCCCTTATGAAGCTGCAAGTTCAGAGTGGGAGTTCTTTGGTCACAAGCTGAATGTTTTTTCAACCTAAGAAACTAAGGGCACCACGCCCTGTTTCATCCTTCTTCTGTACACTAATGGAGACCTCAGAGTTTTAAAATCAGCACTGGGTCTTTCAGTAAGGCTTGAAAATTTCAGATGAGACCATTAATTCATCAGTAAAGGGCAGACATCAGGGGAGCAGTAGAGCTGTTTTCTCATAGAAGTCCATACGGTCAGAGCAGTCGGCCCCTGCTGGCCATTACAGAGAATGCAGGTTTAAGGCACTCCCACGATGAGTCTTTCACACCCATAAGCTGTGTCCATCTGATAAATACAGTCTGTGCCTTGTTTAACAGCGTTGTATACTGTAGACCTGACTTTTGGATCTTAGATAAATGGCTGCCAGCAGTGGAAGTGAACCTACAGCGGTGATTTAGATCAGGGCGTCATGACTGTGAAAAGAACCTCATAAAGGAACAGCAGTGGCAGGTAAAATGTTAAACATCACAGGTTTCCTCTAACAGATTCTGAGCCCCCTGCTCGGTCTCAGTGAAGAAACACTGGCTGCTGGTGTGAAGTCATCCATGAACAAAGAGCCGGCAGGGTGTGAGACGGTGAATAATCTCATGTCACGACGACCGGGATGCATTTCACTGCAGCCTCGGGCAAATTATCAGCACTCACCTTGTGGAGACGTAAGGTGGGGGGGACGTGTGGCCCGTCAGAGACGCTGCACAGACAAACCACAGAGGATGACTCTCAGGCAGCTTCACAGAGGTGGCCTAAATACTGAGCCGGGCTAATTTTAGATCAGGTCTTTGTGTTCAGTTTAACAGGATAAAAACGATTGCATTCATGAGGATGAGGAGAATTAAGATTTTCTTCTTTTCCTCACAGTGTTTGAGTTCTGAGAGACAAGCTGCAGTTTTCTCTGAATACCATTAGAGTAACTTTAATACAAAGCTGCCCTTTGTCAGAATTTCAAGGCACAGCCAAAGAGATCCAGTCACAGTCTTTATAGTTTCGCGTCTGTACACAATCACGGTGGATTTTAAATCAAACGATTAAGCTGTGATTGAAGCGCAGACTTTTATCTCTTATTCAAAGAGTTTAGCTTAATATTTGCAAACGAAAACAAACTTGGCAACATTTAACCCAGTCAGGAATTTGAAGAGATGATAGATTTATGATTGTCAAGGTCTGTCAAAGAGAAACCACCATAAATGGAATTAAAACAAGGCGCAAAGCACTGTTAACCTCAAGAACAAGAGCCTGAACGGCTATTTCAGCTGCTTTTCTGTTTGGTAGCCATCCTTTGATGAACTGGTTCATCTCACGGAAATATATACACTTTTTTCCCCCTTTGAGACTCAAAGTGAGTCACGTTGTTATATTCTCCTCTGCCCAAAAAAAGACCCCCACCAGCTTCACTCCATAAGAACTACATTCTCCCCCGTCTTTCCTTTTCTTTGCAGTAGTTCCTTCGATTTCTGCTGAAATCTGCACAGCGTGCGGTTTGGTGTTGACTCAAAATTTTCCCTGTTCAGAAAAGAGTGGGCAGCCAGCACTTAACCTGTGACGACAGTCTTCTCTGCTTTCACTGGCATTTGTAAAGTCTGGCTTTTACCTAAAGTGCCCGGCCTGCGGTGTTCACTTTAGAGCCGATCAAAATGTCAGACATTGTCTCAGCATGCGAGCCCGGAGGACAAAGAAGAAAAATATGCCGCATCTCAGCAAATCATCAGAAAATCACAATGAATATATGAAAACAGAAAAAGTGAACAAGTGATGTCTTGAGTTACAGAATAAAACTGAATCTACCAAATAACAGTTGAAGTGTGGTCACTTCCTGACCAGTGGAACCTCACCACAAGGGCCATTTAGTGGTTTTCAGGAGCCTCAACTTACATTATCCATCACTCTTCTTCTACTTATTCAATTTAGGGTCACAGGAAGGCTGGAGCCTATCCCAGCTGTCCTCGGGCCAGTTAACCTAACATCAGGTCTGGACTGTGGGAGAAGCCGGAGAAAAACCACGGCGGTGCAGGGAGACTCCACCCAGAAAGGCCTCAGCAGCCCGGTGGCCACTCACCCAGGACCTTCATGGTACTGATCACCCCCCCAAGTGATGTGAAAAGTCAAGAATTCACTTTTAAATTATTTTTAAAAATATTTTCACCAAAGAAAATTAAAAAAATGAAATAAGGGGGACACATGAAAGCTAAATTTCACAATGAAGAGTTTTATTATACAAAACTTGACTATTTGTAGAAAATACAAATATCACTGAAGATGACGGGCGACGCCCATCGATCAGTGTTTTTAAGGCCTTCCATAAAACAACTCAACACCTTTTAAATGTTTATTTTACAAAACTTTTTTTTTTAGCAATTATGAAAAAGCCACGGTAGGTAGAAGCTGAGAGACTGATTTCTAACACATCATAGAATAAAGTCGAGTGTAGATACTACACACCTGCGTACAAAAATGCTGCTTCAGCCGAGCAGAACACCTGTAATTACAGCACAACATGGTTCAAACCACAAAATAAAAAGAAACATTAAAACTAATAAAAGACATTTTCTCCACAGAAATCAAGTCTCCAAACAAAGAGGAGACATCTGCAGGAAGTGTAGTGAAAGACATCATCTCAAGGAAACGATACACGGTTTAGACGTTCAACTATTTCAGACATCTGAAAAAGGTTTCAGATACTTCTGCGTTTCCTTTTCTCCACTTATTTTCCTTAATACTGTTATTTATTTGCATATGTACAAAAAAGGCACCAACACAGACAGGCTGAGAGGTCTGACCCTGAAAACTCATGTATAAAGGCTCTCTGAATCAAAAAGTGTTCACATCAGATTTCTCTGAAAGAAGAGAAGGTGTTTATATTTTGTTTGTTTTGGAAATCATGTATGAGAGGTGTGGATGATTAGATACTCCAAATATCAAATATTCTTTGAGTCTGTTAAAACAAAGAAAGGTAATTCCTGCAGTATGAAAGAGAGTTTTAAAGTGCTGAGTCACAAACACGCAAACAGCTGTCGCCACACTGAAAAACAAAGTCTGCTACTACAGCTGCTTAAAGACCAACGTCTGACCCCAGACATGTCATCAAGCTGGCTGCATGTGATGCTCAGCTGGCGACTGTAATAAATGAGATGATCACCACCAGGCTCAGTTTACAGGCAGAGTCCACAGTTTGTCTGTTTTTAGGTGGGACTGCGACTGTGAACGACTCCATGGAGATGCCTCACGCTCGCCTGAGAATGACAAGTTACCGCTTGGCTTACAGAGTCCATTGACACAGACGCTACACCGATCGCTGTTACTGAGTGAAGCAATGCAAGAACAAGGCCGCCATATTGTTCAGGAGGCTCTGAGCTTCTAATGCTTTATGTCTGTGAAGGAAGAGGCCTATGCATAATTAAAAATCATCAGAATTTGCTGAAATTTCAACTGATTTTCAAGCAGTTACAAACGCTTGAATAGGTTTACCAAATTTTAGAATCATAGCTGATTATTTTCAGCTCTGTTTTGATGTTAAATATAAAAGTGGGACTTCTCCATCATTGAATCCAGTTTATCTTCCTGTCAAGTACTTTACATGAAAGTTGCAGACGAGGGATTCAGTCTGAAGAGCTGGAGTCCACGATAGTCTTCTGACTTTCTCTTTTAGGAATCTGCACACAGATCAGCAGTTATGTGAACAACGCAGTGCAGGTTAACATATTTATATATCCAGCTACATATTTAACTTTTTAACGCTCGACCGGGTAATTTAGGATGACCACAGCTGACGAGCCAGTTAACATCCTTTATATGTCATAATAAGACTTGTAGCACAGCTTTCATAATAGTATTATAAAAGGTGTTTATCCTTCCTGACATAAGCCAACATTAGCTTATTATAATGCCAGGACATTGATTTAAACAAAAAGTCAGATTAGAGGAAGGATTACTTATTGTTATCTAATCAAACATGTTTCTCAAACAGTAAAATCTGTTAAAAAGAAAAAAAAGAAAAAAAGAAAAAAAAAAGAAATATATATAATTGGTGCTTTGATTTAGCATCTGTTTCTTTGGAACACCACAGAGCTGAAAAACAACTTTGCTGTTTAGTATAATAATGTGATCCAAAGTCAGTCAGACCTCCTGAATAAGACGGCGGCAGCAGGGATGCATCGTGTAAGCCCCGATTTGGGATCTACATGTATCTAAGGCACACACAGATTTTTCAGCTGCTAGGAACGATTTTAGAAACAATCCCTCCATCAACAAAATTTAAAACCAGAACAATTAAAACCGACCTCATTACACATCTTTTTTTTTTTTTTCTCCAGAGGTTTGCGGGAAAGCAAAAACCCTTTCCCTGTGGAATTTCAGGTGCATTACTACAGGTGGCCACTAGGACAAACTGGCAGTAAGTCTGAGTGGAGGCAACTGAACAATTAAAAGCTCAAAGATCAAAAACGGGACCTCTGATTCAAGCGGATTGGTTGATTAAATTAAAGGGGCGGGATTAAAACTGAAAGGAACTGAACGTGAGTCACACCGAGGATTGAACACGAATATAACAAGCACCTCTGTGCAAAGACGTAACGCAACTCTCAGTGAGCGTTTCGCCTCTTGTGTGAGTTTTGTTTCGTGATGTGGATCAAACAATGTGATCGACAGACAGGAAGCAGAACTACAACTTGCTGTGGATAAAACAAGAAAAGCATCAATATCGCTGTGCGTTCGGTGTCTTGTGCCCTTGGATTAAAATCAAATGTGAGACATAAAACAGGCACCTTAGCTTTACGTTTCCTGAAATCAAACACGTCTCTGTGTGTCGCTGGATTTTTCTTTTTGAACCTGAGGAGCCGTTAATCTTAATGCTTCATTACTTTCCTGGCAGAGTTTCAGGTTTGAGTTTCTGTCCCTCTGTCGGCCCATCAGTGACTCTGCCGCTCCGACACGACATCCTGGAGGCGCTTCAGCAGCACATCTGGGCTGCTGCCGTTCTCCGGACACACCCTCTTACTCGGGGAGTTGCATGCCGACGACATCATGACGTCCCCCTCCATGTTGAAGGCTCTCTTCCTGCTCACGCAGCCCTGCCGGATCATCCGGTTGATGTCTGACAGCTCCTGCAGAGAGGAAAGGACACACTGAAGAATTGCTTCCATTTTATTTTTATAGTGTATTATTGTTAGTTATGAGTTTTAACTGCACTGTGCACTCTCACTAGCTAATACTGTATTATCTAACACTTTCAGATAAAAAAGAAAAAAGAAATTTCATGGTGTGATTCAGACAAATTCATATTTGTGGATGATATGAATGATAAATGTTTTTTTTTTTAAAAATCTAATCTGTAGAGGATATTTTCCTGGAAGGATTTTTGTAAATCTGGATTTATGTCCCAGCTGTACATCAGAGCTCTTAACACCCTCCCAACACACAAACAGCTATTGATAACGACAACAAACTAGTACAAAACCTTTCATGTATCCTGAGCAGTGTTTAAAACACTTTTTTAATAAACTGTGAGGCTGTTTCTACAGACCATCAACACTTTTTAAGACTTTGTTCTAGATGATGACTGATTACACTGATGAGACCAAGGACCAAGATTTAAATGAGACTAAAATTATCAACAGAAAGTTTAGGAGTTACAGGACCTTACTCGGCTGAAACGGTTAAATACAACAGTCTTTTAGAAGCAAAACCCACCACTCTGCAGCCATCTTTGAAATGCTTCTGGGCACTTATTGCGAAAGGGGAGAGACCCCCAACTATAAATTCACAAGAATATTAGAAGCGCCTGCATATAATCATCACTACAATGTGAATCGAAAAAGATGACTAAAAAGTTTTGGGAAGTTAAACAACACTGAACAACAGACACTTCAGAGAAAAGTGTAAAACAACACATTTCTGTGTCCCAATCAGGCCGAGTGATACAACAGCTATGAAGCACAGAACTGTTTCATCCATTTGGCTCAGAGTCTTCGATGGATGTGCCGTCCTTTACAACCTTATAGAACTAACGGCACATTGTGTTTTATTGCAGATACAGCCCGGTCCTGTTACAGAGACTCTTTGGCGCCATGTGTGTGAGTGACAGTGTGTTCTTGCCTTAGACGGGCTGCTGTTTATCCTGTAGGTGTAGGAGTTCGGCGTGAGACAGCCTGCTGAGTTCTTGTGAGGGGAGACGTAGAGCGAGTGTCTCTGAGAGATCCGGCGAGGAGACAGAGGCTGAGCCCGGACCGACGGAAACGGAGAGAGAGGAGGAGCGTCCGCCTGGAGGAACCGACACAGCCACGTCAAACAAGAACAAACATTCACCCACGCAATAATATCGTTACCTTGGAGACAGGTAACGACAGGAGCGTACCCGGTTATCGCTGGTGGCGTATCGCAGAGCAAAGCTCTTCATCTTCAGGACGTACACAGTGTTGTAAAACTGGATGAGGTCACCACGCTCCTCCTCCCCTCCTGATTGGCTGCAGTTTAAGTTTCCCGAGTGCTGATTGGTTTTCTCTGCAGCTGAAGAGAAAAGCAAATTAACGTTTTTGAGTAATTTATCAAATATCGAGCTCCACTTTTTCCTTCCTCATATCATCAGCTTTTCAGCCAGCTGCTTAAAGTCCTGCTTTTCTATCACTTAACTACATCGTTAATTTCACTCCACTGTTTCCTCTTCCTGTCATATACCTAAATAGTGGGTTGAATAAATTTTTTACTTTGGGTGGCATAACACAAGCTCTAGTATCTCCTCCTTCGGTCTGATCATACTCGATGTCGTGTTTTTCCTCATGTATTAAAACAACTTTGTCATTTCTCTATTTCTTTCTTTATTGGGACGTTTTCGTGCATATTTTCAAAGCACTCGTGCCCCAGAATTAGACTGGTCAAATCCCCTCTGATGAGTCCTAATATGGGACCATAACTGAAATAATGTTAAAGCTAATTAGCATTTCTCTCAGTTAATCTAAGGCTGTAGGTTCTCAGCTGGAAAAGGAGGAACTGCCTGATCCAGGTGGGGAGGAAGGAGTAGGTGCTTTAGGTAGAGGAGATGAAGTCTAGCTGGGTGTTGTGCATGAGTGAGGGGAGAGTGAAGCCAGAGAGCTTCAGCTGTGGGAAGTCACCAGTGCACTTCCTATGGACGGTGTCTGGAAGGAGGAGCTCAGTTGAGACAGTTTGAGAATCTGAGACGTTTCCAGGTCTTAGTCAGATTTATCTACTGCAGTTTAAGTATTTTATGTTTGTACAGCATGAGTGTCGGCTGCTGGGGCAGATGGAGGTGGTAGAATACACACAGATGGATGTTCTCAGCTAATACATGTATATTTTTTATTCCCCTGAAGATAACACTATAGACTATATGTCTGATGAAAAGCATATAAAAAAAGATGGATAACGTGTCAGCCATCAGAGCGCCATCTGTAAAAAGTCACAAGTTTACCTGAAGCTTTCAGCGTGTACAAATACATAAATAAATAATAAAGAGAGAATCCCTGACTAACCTCAAACATCTTAAAAGGTTAAATTCAGATATCAAACTGCTGTGCAGAAGATGCTGCCAGTCTTTAAATGCAACAACTGATTAGAAATGTTCATGAAATACGGCTGCCAATAAACACTGCTGCTTTGATGCTACATTAAAGCAAGTCATTAAGAAACATGTGTCTGTGAGAGCTTACATTCTCCACCTGAAACAGGATCCACCTCCATGTTTTCATCAGCCACCTGCTCTCTGGGAGTGCGACGCAGTAAGACGCTGCGGTACACCTACATGTATAAACACAGAGTGTAAGAGTGGAGCCTCTACAAACATAACATTACTGATTAAGAGAATCAGTAATTAGCTTGTGTTAAAGGGGTTTCTCACGTGGCTGTTGGCCTGCGGCTGGCTGCGGTAACATTTCATGATGTCCTGGAAGGTGTGAGTGTCTTTGGTGATCTACAAGGAAGGAAGGAAGGAAGGAAGGAAGGAAGGAGTCAAGAGATGTACAAACAAAATTGATTTCTTAAACTAGACGCCCTGTTCCTTCTAGTAAGTTGTTCTGGAGAAATATCACGTTAATACACAGGTGATTCTAAACTCAGGTATCCTTACCTCTACTACAAGCACATGTTTCTTTTGTTCTAGTAGTTGAATTTCCAGCAGTGGAAAAGAAACTTGGGCTCAATTATGAAAAGAACAAATGAACAGGATACATACACACTACTGCGATGATGTGACACAGTTGATGCTGCTCAAACTTTCAGCTGGGCTTCATTTGCAAGGTTAGTAACAGCCTGCATGTATTAAATGTATTCTCCATCGGAGAAACTATACTGACAGCTAAGACAGCTAAAGGATAAAAGGTTGTGAATAAACTGTCTGCTTTTCTCTGGCTGACTCAGCCTGGTTTTCCTGCAAAACAGTGCTAAAATGCCAGAAAGACATTTCCCAGCAAGCCAGCGCAGCAGCCTCAGGCGGTTTAAAAAACAGCTGCCATACGTTCTTCTTAATTAAATGTGAAGCTTTTCTCCAGGTTCTCACCTTGGAAATGATGTAAATGCTGCACAGCAGCAGCTGGTCGAGGTGCCGGTCCTTCATCAGATCGGTACAGTGGACCAGAGAGTGCTCGAAACAAGTCCAGATTTTCCCTCGCAGATCGGACGAGATGTCCAGCTTCACACACAAATCCCTCAGACGTACGCTAGCCAGGTGATACACCTGCAAGGGCAGAGGGACGAGATTTATATGTCCTGCAAATTTCATAATTCATCATTTCCAGCTGCTGTACAAGTAGAAAAATAAAATGTCAAAGATAAATGTATGGAGGGCAGTGGCTAATGCAGCTCATGTTACTCGAGTAAACATCTTAAAACTGAAAAGTATTTAGTTCTTACTTATTTTCATATTCAGAGAGAATGAAACTGTATTACTCTAACCACCAGTGTAATGCATGACATACAAAGTTCTGATCAAAGATCTGAAAGAGACATTTTATGTGAACAAAAATACAAATAAAAAAAGGGCTCTTTTTTTTTGAGCGGGAAGGAGGAAAAAGAAATCAAGAGATTAAATCTGAATTGTTGGTTGTAGCTCTAGTGGGATGTTTATCATCTAAACTGGAACCTGTATTATGTTCTGCACATTTTAAGGTTTATTTATTAACGCGTTTCTTTCCCAGACAAAAAGAGTAGAGTGATCAGGTTATAGAAACATAACAATATCAAATTCTAAATTCTTAAATTTATAACTAGAGATTTTTATGAAACCAGCCTGTCGTAAAATGTCACACTCCTTTCACAGTCTGTACCTTCCTGAAGAAGAGAGCGAGTGATCCTGTGCGTCTCGGTCGTCCATTTCCTGCTTGGGTATCAGAGGTCGTGGCAACGGCGGTGGGCCGGCTCGGGGAGGCGGTCAGCAGGAACTGAGCCGTGATGGGAGCAGAAGAATCACACGGCTGAACCGGGATCAGCGTGAAGGTGCGGTCAGTGTTATTTGTACCTGCAGATATTCCCACAAACAGATGTTTAGCAGGAAAAACCAACTGCCTGAACGTTTATGTGGACTTATTTTAGCAAAGAAAACTATCAGCATGTCAGGGATAGAGGCTTAAATCCATGTCCAGCATCAGAGCAAGGTACTAACACCGTCTCAGTTTGAGGGTTTGACCTTCTTCTGTATGGAGCCTGAATACTTTGTGTAAAGAAATGCAAATGCGAATGCTCCAAGTCTCTGTTTTTGGTGGCAGTTCAGCTTATTCAGTGCCAGGGAGGTTTAAAAAAATAAATAAATAAAAAATATGTAATTTTATCCTGTTTTGGCTGATGATGCAACCATGACAACAGTGAAACAGGAATGGTGTAAGGTGTAAGCACCTGGCAGTGGGATACTCAGGACGGTGGTTTGTGTCCCCTGTCCTGCGATCTTCAGGGTGCTGCTTGTGCCAAAGGTCAGCCTCTTTGCTGGAGAGGACATTGGGCTTAAGCCGGCGTTCAGGCCTGGTGACGGAGCTGGTGGGTCGTCACCGAAGAGACGCCGTTTCGCGCTGCCAGCTGCAGGAGAGCTGTACCTGTCATGTACGGACAGTGGAGAGGGAGGCACATCTGGAAGAGGTGAAGAGAAAACAAAAAATTTAACATTAAGTTACAAAAACAACCTGAAGACCCGCCCGGCTTAGAGACCCACCTTTACGGGCGCTGCCCAGGCCGGACCTGAACTCCCTGATGCGGGGATGGATGATGGGTGAGAGGGCCACCATGGGCAGGTGGGACTGCCCTCCACTGACAGAACAAGATCCAGAAGCAGAACCTGTGTCAAGACTGGAGGAAAAATTCACCTGCAGAAAGAGATGAGATTTAGTGTTTATTGAAGACTTCTCTAAACAGAGTTTTACATGTTTTTCTTTCCTACTCTTGGCTCTTCATATCAATTAGAGTGACACACAAGCCCCACCCACCTGTTAGTTATGCGTTTCAACTGCACTGTGCACTCCCAACTTCCTGAATCTGATATGCTCTTATCTAATACTGTATTATCTAACACTTTCAGATAAAAAAAAAAAAAAAAAGAGAAATTTCATGTTGTGATTCAGACAAATTCATATTTGTGGATGATATGAATGGTAAATGTTTTTTCAACTTGAAAGTTGACAGTTACAGAAAAAGTAACATTTTCCCCCCATACAATTGATGATCTCAGGAGCTGCACCAAGTTCTCAACATGTGATTCATGCAAAGCTGCTCCAGTAGAGTCCAAAGATAAAATTATGAAGCTGGAAATTAGTCTAATAGCTCCCACTTCAGTGATTTCCTATGTAAATCTTCACTTGCCTCTTGGCCTCATAGTCTTCACCAGTATCGTGTTTATGGGACTGATCCTCTTTATGATGAAAAATTAGACTTGAGACATTTTATGTTTATTAAAATTTCTATTTGAGCCTTTAGAGACAAATTATGCAAAGCACATTGAGAGAGCTTGTATTTCTAGACAGTTTGGAGGTTTTTATCAATATTATAATTATTATGGATTATGTGTGTTCCTCTGACCTCCTCCACTGTGGGAACCTTGTTCCCTGCAGCCTGCAAGGCGCTCCACAGGGCAGAGTCTGTGGTCCACGCCCTGCACTCCAGAACCTGCTCCTCGATGGAGTTCAGATGTTTCACCATGTCTCTGGACAGGCCCTCCTCGGAGCGGATAAACACCTCGATCACCTGTGCACACAAACACACTAAATCAATCCAGAGTGGTGAAAAACCCCAAACTGCTTGGGGAGAGGACAGGTTTTATTTACTCATCAATCCGGAAACAGGAGCTGTTCATTTAAACATCTGTACTGCATCTGGTTTAATGACTTTAAGCAGATGCAACACAGATGGAAATTGATTTTAGTGGTCTAGATATTTTTTTTTTTAACCCTTTATTCAGCAAAGGTTGTGTGTGTGTGTGCGCATGTGCTCTAAGCGTCTATTACCTTAAAGAAGTAGAAAGGAACCTGTTTGAAGACACTGATGATCCAAGGAAAGGTCCTCTGGGAGCTGTAGGCGAACAGCACCACCTCCAGACAGCACGCCATCAGGGAACAGTGGAAGATATCCTGCTCCAGCAAAACCTGACAACACAAACACACCTTTAAACTTGAGCCAGAGACTCTACAGACATCTGTGTTAGCATTCTTCTGTGTTTTCACTATAGTCTGGCTTGCTGCCCGGGTTTTGGGGGTGCTCGATATAAATTAGCTGCGTCTTCGATCCGTGCATCTCATCCAGTAGTTGACAACTGCATAATCGTTTTTGTGACTGACATATGAGTGAGAAACACTGAGTCTGATGCTACTACGCAACATAAATTTATATTTAATTATACCCACAGGTATAATTAGAGATAGAGATACATACAGGCCTCATCAGATGAGGAATGATGTCAGTGTTGTGTGGAGAACAATCTACGTTGAGGTAGGATAGTAAAAATGACTTGTGGTGTGCGAGTGGCTCATTATTGTATGAAACACGCTCTGACTGCTGCTTACGCTCATGTCTCTGCCAGGCAGCCGTCTGGTCTCCTGGACCATGACGTTCTCCAGGATCTTGTAGTAGAGGATCTCAGCCAGCTTTAGACGGTTCTCTGCAAAGTCTGGAACAAAAGACACACATGCATTTATGCTTTACAGGGATTTTGGTGAGTCTGACAGCCAGCATAGTTTAATTAATACTATTTTAATTCATACTGCAGAAAAATGATTCAGTGATCGGAGTAGAAAAGTGCACAACAGTGAGATTCCATTAGTCATCACCAAAAACCTCTCGTCTGTTAAACACTGAAGACACCTCTCCTCAAACCACCGTCTGTGTTCTACCTATATGAGAGCCAGGCGTGTCCTCCAAGTCGTTGGTGTAATGTTCTTTGAAGGTTTGTCCCAGTGTCTTCACTCGGGTCAGTATGGACTCTGTGGGATCTCTGGAGCAGGACCTTCAATAAGAACAAAGGCAAAACAAATGTTTTTACATTATTGAGTATAGAAAACACCACAAAGGGACTGAGTGATACTGGTTTCAGGATCATGCGTCTTATGAAAAGCGCATTATTGTAACATTTGTTTCTGTAAACTCTTGTGTTATTCTTGGTTATGTCTCGTGCTTTCATCTACTGGAGGATGTAACTGTGACTCAAAAGAAATGTTCAGAGGATTTTTAATGATTCAGAAATATATGAAAATAGATCCATGGTAACTGAATGCTTACAGTCCATTTCACTAATATTCAAACTCTTATTGTTTTTTTCTTTCTCTTAAATGATACATGAATTGCCACTAAATATTAAATACTTAATAATATTACTACTACTACTACTACTACTACTACTACTAATAATAATAATAAATATTAGCCTTTTTTAAAAATCTGTCTGAGAATTCAAGCTTTTCAAGATGAGGATTTTCTCATCTTACATTTCCCTACCTGCAGGCTAATCAGGGTGATGTTGTAGTTATCTACAGTATCATTCAGCTGAGTAATGACACCTTTCATTGTGTAGTACAATGGACCGCAGCTTCAGTGTCTTACACTGCAGCTGATAACAGATATCCTAATCCTCCTGGCACAATCACACCAAAACAAACCGGTTCATTTCCTGCTACACTGAGTTCATTAGCTAGCAACTGGAGTCCAAAATGGTAGAGTAGGAACAGGATGCTGGTGAAACTTACATATGGTAGCATTTCATAAACAATTTAAGAAACTCCTACTACATGCACATGCCCCACATTGCTCTGACCCCTCCCACCACAAGGTTCAAAGACTCTACAGACAAGAGGAGGTGGGGATCAAAGAGTCCTGCTCAAAACACCCTGACAGAAAAACTAAAAATGACTGAGTCAAACAATTTTACTCATAAAACCACAGACTAATGATCATGATTGAATCACTTTTTCTCCTTTTTCCTCTACTCTTTACTCACACTGTTAAATCTACAGTATACAGTCTTTCTCCTCTAATTTAAATGTATTCCTTTCACTATTTTCATGCTCAAGATAAGTACAGTACAGTACGAGTCTGAAGTTTGGACACCCTTTCACTGGTGCTGTAGTTCTGCAAAGACAAATAAAAAGAAGAAAAAAGACTGACTTGAAGATCTGCATCAGATGGTCACTGGGGGCCGTCCTTAAACCAGCCACCATGCTCTGCAGCCTGCTGACACTCTGTGTCGCCGAGGAGACGGGAGTGACGAGCAGGTCCTTCTCCTTCAGGTACACTCGTCCGGTCAGAGGGGTGGAGGGGGCGAGAGAGGCAGACTGCATAGAGAGAGGGAGAGAGTAAATTTCCTTGAAGTAACACCATAATGGTTTTTTCCATCTCTGTGACTTTTTATTGAGTTCGCTGATCCAGGTTTGAATCAAAGAAGGATCACACTTTTTGTAGTTGAGCTTTAGATTGCTGCTTCATATCAGATCTACTCCTTTGTTGGCTGCTTTTAAATCCGTGCTTAAAGACAAAATAGTTCATCCTGGGCTGGGCCCATTTATTCTTTATTTAAACTACATTAAAAGTAAAAGCAGTGGTTTTCCTGTTATTCCTTTTATTTTCTTAGTAATTTACTAACATTGGTCAATAATTGTTGCTTTAATACAAACTTTATCAAATGGATTTTGCATTCACCTCGCACTTTATTATGAAAACCTCGATTATTTAAATCGAAAATCACTTTTTCTTCTCAGTCTTATGTTTGATTTACTGGTGACCTGGTATTTTCTGGCAGGTGTTTCAAATCTTTTGTTGGTGTGTGTGTTTACCTTCTCCACATGTTGCTGCAGCTGTTGGCTGGCAGGTGGCTCCTGAACGATCTTCCTTGGAGTTCCGATCTCCTCGTCGGCATCGGCTCCCAGAAACACTCGCTCATCGAAGTCTCCCACCGTCAGCACATACTCCTCATACTCCCTGTTTATGGCTTTACTGCAAACACACACATAAATGGATCTACATTTCTAAAACAGAAAGAAGAGGGAAGAGCACAAGCTGTTTTCTGTTCTCTTGTTGCTCACTTGTTATCGATGAAGTTCTGAGGATCCAAGAGTTCAGTCAAAAGCTCATCGTGACCTTTCAGGATCTGATTGGTGAGAAATGTGAGGTAGCAGCAGATTGGAGGGAAACAAAATTACTGCTTGAAAAAAATTAAAAATAAATAATGAAAAAAGCTGGAAAAGAACTGTAATGATTAAACACATGTATGCATGTGTTTAGGATAAATCGAATGCACCTGTTTCTGAAAGAGCTTCTGTATGTAAGGTTTGAAGTAGTGCTGCTTGATGCCTTTAGCCTCCACCACCAGCCCGTCGTGGAGCTCGCACAATCTCTCCAACACACATGGAGGAGGCTCATCAGAGGAAATATGTCCATCAGCACGGTACGCAGCAGGCAGACCTGCACACAGACACACAAATGAACCAATGTACTGTGAGGGTACTGGAGCAACAACAGCCTGTTCCAAAAAGCAGGTTTAGTGAAAACTCTGAGCTACTCGATCCTAAGATTACATTTTCTGCTTGATAAAACCTGATTTTAGATTTTGTGATCCTCAGCTGCTCAGAGTTTATTCCCCAAACTGAATTTCCCGAGAAGCAAATCAGTGTCTCACTGTACAAACGTAAAACACTGATCATATAAAAGGAATTTGTCATGTTGTGATTAATCGCCCTGATGTAACATTTCTGATCACAGCTGTAAAAGTGTAAACAATGATCAGCTGTTTAGGAAACAAAAACCTGAGGAGTTAATCAATGTAGAGCTTTCTGGGAATGCATTGTGGAAAAGATAACACATAACTGAAAGTTTTAAAAATCGGTCTTGCAATTAGTCTAAAAACGCTTTGAGACAACCACACAGGTCCCCCACCTCTGAACGTCGGGTTGATGAGGTCTTTCCTGTTGGCACAGAGCAGAGCATTTCCAAACACCAAGTCCAGACAGCAGAGAAGCAGGTGGTACGAGTTCACCAGGTCATCCCCAATCATACGGAAGTTCCCTTCACAAACAGAAACACACAGTTACATCATATATCACGGCTGTAATGAATAATAATTATTTTAGTAGCTGTATTTAAAGAAACTAAAACGGAGAAAAAAATTTAGCACATAATTATTTGTGAAATCAGTTATTCGAAAATGTAAAGTGTCCTTTCAAGCTTAGTTGTGGGTACCTTTAGTGTAGACAAACAGAGTCCAGCAGAACTTGAACACATCACTGATGTGACAGGGCAGCCGCCTGCAGACCCAGAGAGAGGACACGGTCATGCTGTGTGTATTGACTAAATGTGACAACGAGAATAAAATCTCTGCGTTTCCAGACTGAAGGCTGGTGACTAAGTGTGTGGTCAGAGTAACTAACCAGAGGCAAAGATGGTATGAGACAAGATCACAAAAAACAAAACAAAAACGACCCTGTGTCCAAAATCAAATGTGTTCTATCTTTCTGGTATGAGCTGCTGTTGACAGGAGGAAAGCATACCTCTGATAAACAGGAGAGCTTTTAAGAGAATTTGTCCTCTGTGATGTTCATACGGCTACATGAATTAACCAGCATTAGTGAAATTTAGGACTAAAAGGACGTCCTGTCCTCTCTGGGCTTAAAGTCACCAATAAAGTGAATTTGTGAAATTTACAGAAGCTTCTGCTAAAGACAGCCCATGTTTAGCATGAAACTACGCATTTAAATAAAGTGAGAATCCCTTCATTATTATTGCTCAGGTGCTTTTTTTACATGAAGCTCTAAAATACATTCACTACAAAATTAAATCTATAGTAAGCAAATTTATAGCTAAGCAGTGTCGAAAACTGAATGTACTTTAATATAATTTGCACTGCAAAGTCAGGCATCAGAAGGATTTAAAGCAAACACCTTCAAACTTAAATCTTAATACTTTAGATATAGAACTTTACAAGAATGTTAACCAAGGGTTAGACCAGCAGCTCCGTGTGTGTTACCTGTGCTTCCTGCTGCGTGGTTGCCGTGGCGGGTCGGTTCCCTGCGGATTCTGAAACATGTCCATGAAGATGGGTTCAAACTTGCGGAAAATCACCGTGGAGACCTCAAAGTTGCGTTCCAGGCGCTCCATTCGGAGCCTGAAGTCCTGCGAGAGCTTGGACATGTCGGCCCACTTCCTCATCTTGGAGAAGAACTGGATCAGACTGAGGAAGGGACAGAACAAGCAGAAGTGTACATGTTCAAACACAAAACAATGGAGGATAGGCTCCCATTAAAACTTAACTGGAAATGTTGTAACACACTTTTTAAAGGATTTCAGTTTGTAAACATTCATCGTTTATGGTCACATTTTTCTACAGATAATACAGAAAAATCTTTCACTTTCTGTGTTATCTGTAAAGAAGACACTGAATCTGAGTCTTTTCTTCACCATCAGTCATCTAAAACCAGGTAAGTTACCACCTCATAATTTATTCGGCACACTGATGTTTTCACTGCTTTATCAGTTGCTACATTTTTCTTAAACTGCACAGTCAGGTCGCGCAGAGCTGACAGAGATTCACCTGAGTTTCGAGGAGCGAAGAATCCTGGTCAGCGAGACACAGTTTCCCTCCATCAGCCCTTTGCCCACTGTGGGAGTGGACCCCTTCCTGCAGGCTGAATACAGCGAACATGCTAGCCAGTGTACAACATCTCCCTGCAGAGAAACAGCAACACAACATTTACACATCTGTCTTTGATACATAACATAAACAGAAAGCTTTGTGATCAAACAGCTGCGTGATGCACAATCATATTCATCTTTTTAGTCAAGAAACATCAAACTGATCAGAAAACATTTTGCTGTTACAGCTTCATAAATATGAATTAGGAATCAACATTATACTTATAAGAGTGTGTCTGTGTTTTTTAAAAATATCCTTTCCTGCTTTTATCCATGTTTAAATTTTTGGATTCTACTTAAGTTTTAATAATAATAAATTTTATTTAAAAGCACCTTTCAAAACACTCAAGGACACTTTACAGAACAAATAAGACAAGCATGAAAACAGGAAATGAACACAATAATGAAACAAAGTTTAAGAGCATGGAGTAGTTACACAGAGTAGGCTATCTTTGCATGACTCACGGTTTCAAATAATTCCCATTTATTGTTTTTCATTTTAATTTTCAATAAACAACATTGCCATGAATTTTATGCATTTAAATGAATAAAAAAAAATCTAAAATTTCATCAGTGGTGCATCCCTATACCACAAGCACTCTTTAAATTACTGCACAGCTTTACCCACCCACACTAGTACAGGGAGTGCAGAATTATTAGGCAAGTTGTATTTTTGAGGAATAATTTTATTATTGAACAACAACCATGTTCTCAATGAACCCAAAAAACTCATTAATATCAAAGCTGAATGTTTTTGGAAGTAGTTTTTAGTTTGTTTTTAGTTTTAGCTATTTTAGGGGGATATCTGTGTGTGCAGGTGACTATTACTGTGCATAATTATTAGGCAACTTAACAAAAAACAAATATATACCCATTTCAATTATTTATTTTTTACCAGTGAAACCAATATAACATCTCCACATTCACAAATATACATTTCTGACATTCAAAAACAAAACAAAAACAAATCAGCGACCAATATAGCCACCTTTCTTTGCAAGGACAAGGCAGCTCTGAAATATGGCCAAACTGGTGGCAAGTGGCATCTTGGCAGCTGCACGCTTGACTTTTCTCAGTTCATGGGCAGTTATTTTGCGCCTTGGTTTTTCCACACGCTTCTTGCGACCCTGTTGACTATTTTGAATGAAACGATTGATTGTTCGATGATCACGCTTCAGAAGCTTTGCAATTTTGAGACTGCTGCATCCCTCTGCAAGATATCTCACTATTTTTGACTTTTCTGAGCCTGTCAAGTTCTTCTTTTGACCCATTTTGCCAAAGGAAAGGACGTTGCCTAATAATTATGCACACCTGATATAGGGTGTTGATGTCATTAGACCACACCCCTTCTCATTACAGAGATGCACATCACCTAATATGCTTAATTGGTAGTAGGCTTTAGAGCCTATACAGCTTGGAGTAAGACAACATGCATGAAGAGGATGATGTGGACAAAATACTCATTTGCCTAATAATTCTGCACTCCCTGTATACAAGAACAGGCTTGACATAAACAAGTTAAGCGTCTTTATGTTTATAAAAAAAATTCATGACCAAGGTCAGTGGTAACAATACGTTTCCCCCTTTTTGTTATTCAGTCCAAACCCTGATATGACCAAAGACTGTGGTTCTGGACAGTAGTTACATTCAATAAATAAAACATTACGATTACTCTAGTGTCTACTTTATCAGAAACTCACACCATCACAGCAACCCAAACAATAAACAACATATGACAACAACAGCTCAACAAAATAAATGCCAAATAAATCTATATACGCTGTCTTTAGTCTCATCTATTTTTAGTTTATTATATTCTATAAATTTAGCTTGATCCAGCTGATACCTGCTGTAGCACTAAAGCTTCCCTTGGACATTAAGTATTTTTGCATTACAGAGGCTGAAACCAGGGGTGACTCTGACACAGGAATAAATCAGCACGATCATTTTACTGGCAATATAATTAGTTCATAAACAGTGGCGATCGACTAACCGGTGCGACTCCAGCGTGGAAAGTAAAAACAGAGCCCTTTAACTGCTGTATTCGTGTCCGGGTCTAGCATTCACTACACATGAAAATTAATCTACAGTAATGAGCTTAGCAGGAGTCTGACTCAATAAACAGCTACTGACTATTTAGAGGACATTATTCACCTCCAGAGTATATGTATTCCATATGGCAGTAAAGTTGTCCATAGCTTCTGTGGCCGTCTGTTCGTCCATGTTCAGCTCCTGACACAACGTCTCCAAACTCCTCCGCACCGAGCTCTCCTCCATCCTGCTCGACTCCGAATCCGAAGACTCTTCGCCCCGCATCCGCGACAGGTATAATTTCCACCTGAGTTCAAATCTAAAAACCAAAACACAGCGCCCCTCTTTCCCACTGCCAAACAACACAGCCCACCAACTTGTTCAGGACACAACAACTTCCGTTATCAGTCCCCCACAATGCAGCGCGTTGGCGCGAAAACTTCACGACCCGGACCAATCAGAGGCGAGGGGAGCGTCGGTCCTGAGCTGTTCGCCCAACCCCCTGTCACAAGCTGAAAGCTCGTGCTCAGCAGACGCTCTGGCTCTTTGCTTTCAGCAAATTAATGTTCAGTTAATTTATTTTAAATTTTGATTATTGGTAGTGATGGGTAGATGAGGTCTCGTGAAGCGTTTCAGCACATTCCCCAAACTGTATCGATACTGAGTCGACACAGTGTTGCTGTTTTGCTCCATACTGTCACCTGCTGGACTTTAAGTATCATTGCAGGCAACTTACTTGAGACTCACAACAGGCACTGATTCAATGACCTAGTCATACTTGTATACACTGTAAGGTATTGCACTTTCCATGGAATCATTTTATATTTTTTACATTGCAAATATTGTAGACATCTTTAAAATATACTGTGAATGACATTAAGTGAAAATTAAAATGAAGGTATTGTGAATGTAACATTACCCATTTAAATGTATTTGACTCAGAGTTTATTATAAATTTCTATTCAGAAAAACAAGTTCATCCAATGTTTTTGCATTCAGTCCATTGCGTTTTTGGACACCATTTCCTCAGCTCATAGGGCTCAGATGGAGCTGGGGTACACAAAAACTGTAAACCCAGGTGGAAAAGGTTCGGATAAGATGTCTTCCTATTTCCCCAGTACGTTAAAGGATCCTCTGATCTTGGAATGTTTCTCTCCAACACTCTCCACAATACTAAGGGATTGTCTTTTATGAAAAAAATAAAATAAAATTCAGGACTGCCTGGTCAAAAACAGTCTTCCTAGATGCTTGATTTCAAAAATAATAAAACATATATTTATGAACAAAAAAATGATGATAATGCTGCTCAATGTCTATATAGGCCTACCTGTGTTATTCTCGGTGTGTTTGTCTCCTCATTTTCATGTTTGGCTCTGTAATGCCTAAACATTGAGGAGGTGCTTTTGTTTGTGTAAGAAAGCTCCGCAGAACAGATGCGACATTTAACCTGCATAAAATGAAATAAATACTTTACACTGCAGGTCACATTGCTGTTTTTCCTATTCTGATAGATTACACTGAAACAAAGACAGACAGTTACCTTCTTTGCAGTTAAAAGATTGAAATGATCCCACACAGCAGAAACTTTTCTTTTTCTTTTGGGCTCCATTTTTTATGGAGAGATGTGTATTATCTGTTTCTTTGCGAGAGTAATTTTGGTTGTTTTTTTGGTGGCGACTCATTCTGTTGACAGATGCAGATGTGGTACCTTTTAAACACAGTTTAGAGCGTTGGCAATGAGCGATACAGCAGCTGTATCGATCACGTGACTTTTTCTTAAAGCGACACACGCACCGATACAGGCTTCGCTCTGTGAGCTTGATACATGCGCTGGTGGGTCAGTGCTGCTGGACCCATCACTAATTTTTGGTATTTAATTGAACACGAGCAAAGCTATTAAATACGGAATAGAAAATAGAAAACGTTTTTGCGTCCCATTCCACGCCCCCGGAAGTTTAATGTAGGACTGAAAATATTGGAAAGATTTTAAAACAGTCAAAAACGTAGCCCTTGTAATAACCGGAAATTTTGACTTATGGGTGGCTTTTTTGTGATTCTAACTATGCATTTTTAATGTGTTGGATAACATTTATATTAAATTGAATGTAGTAATAAAATAGTGACGTCTACAGGCGTGTTTAAAATACGTATTGTGGCAGAACTTCCTTCTATTACTTTGAATCAAACTTTTAACTGCTAAAAGTAGCGACCCTAAACTAGATGAAGCTTGATGGATGGATTGAAAGGTATGTAGTTGTTTGTTTTACTTTGCCATGGGACAAACCTCTAACCTCAGCAGGGGCTCTGGTATTTTCAGATACTGTATATTGTTAACTCTGGGTATATTCATTTTAACTGCTAGTGCATGCTCATGCTGTAATATTGTTTGGTCTTTTGTAACAGTGATGCTTAATTACATTGAAAAAGGGGAAGATGGGGCTGACTGTATAAAAATAGCACATTTTTGTGGGTCCTCTGAAATGCTGAGTCTGTGTGTAGCAACGCGACAGAGACATCAATATAAATAAATCAAATGTGATGCATGATTAGCATGGTGTTTGTTATACTTTGAATTTTTTTTTTTTTGCTTTTACAGAAGTTTCAGAAACAGGAAAGAATAAAAACTCACGAACATTTTTGTTTATGATCACTTTATTTTTAAAAGCAACGAAAGAGTAACTTAGCCCCCTCAAACTAAACTACTTCTGTAAATAAAGAAAGTTAATGTTCTTTATAGTAGCATAAAAAAAATCTCTTTATAACCAGCTATCCTAAACTCTAAACTCCAATAGTCGTATGACCTTATGATCTCAGTAGATATTAGACAGTAAATAACACAGCACTCTACCACAGTGGTTATCAAAACCCCATATGATTAAAGCTAGACTACTCAGCACACTAAACTAAACACATTTAAATCCTTAACAGTATTAGAAACTAACAACAAACCCCAGCACTACTCCCACTCGGTTTTGTCATTTACATCATTTGTGTTTCCATTATTCTAAGTAAAGTAATGAAATGTCCCGTGGAGCCCCTCACACATTTAGAGACAGCTTTTAGAAATCAGAGCGGACCAGTGAGTGTGCTCTCAGTGAATGCTGTATCTGCTGTTATCTCTGGTCTCAATTGTCTTTATCAGCAGCTTCGGGGCAGGAGAGCTGGAGGCACTTTGGTAGCCATTAGTGCTTTTAGTACTTGAAGAGAAACCTGAAGAAAAACACATGAAGATGTGTAAAACAGAATTTCATAAAATACAAATTCTCTGTCTTTATTAATGTAACCTCTCAGTCCAGAGCATCAAGGGCTTAGTCATATAAAAACATTCGTATTCATACACTAAACTGCCTTAGTGTGTGACACTTACTGTAGTTGGAGATGGGCTGGATGTTGAGGATAGACTGTTGTCCAAGTCTGCAGAGGCAAAAAAGAAACAAAGAAAAGAAAAAGAGGTTATTTATATTTCTACTTTTGTGGACTCTTTAACTCTTCTGTTCCATCCTGGGCTGTAACCATGTGGTGTCAGATTCCCACCCGTAGAGGGCACTCTACCCTAACATTAACCTAAATTCTGTTTCATTTCATCCTGGTGTAGTTCTCACTGATGTCTCTATTATCGCTCTCTGTGGGGTATGATAGCCCCGTTGACCTTGAATTAGATACGCAGAAGAAAATGGGTGGATGAATAAATCATGATAAATCTCCGGCTTCATCTGGGAAACAAAGAGCTGCAAAATGGCTTATCAGCAAAAAGTATAAAAGTCATGAGCACCACAAAGGTTTATCTGGCATTAGCAGAAAGAGCTGAACCTTACAGCATTCACACAATAAAGACAAACAGGAACTAGTTGTTAGCAATACAAAAAACTTTCCATTGGAATCAGATCCTTGTCTGTTTCCACTGTTTCTAATTATTAATTTAAGATTTAAACTACATTATTATTATTGTGGCACACCGACAAATTAAAAAATGTTATTTATTGCAACATTTTCTTTGTATTCAGAGGTTTTCTGAGGGGAAATTTGGGCGCAGGAACAAAAACAGAGTATATAAAAAAATCCAAAAAGAATTTAGCTCCACTGCTTCATTCACTCATCTACAGCGACATCACATTTTTGTGAAGCTGTTTAATTTACAAAATTATCATATGAATATTTGTATCCATAATATCAATTTTTAATTTAATCACTCTTAGTCTCAGTGCCGGTATGTCGCTGCCAATCTCATTCCAGTAAATCAAGCATCGAACTAAAATTACCCTAATGATGGTCATAATGGTGAAAGTCAGGCTCAAGGATACACACATCCATGCATACTCCATCCATGAGTATGCATAAATAAAGAAATGGTTTATGAAGTAGTTTACATTTAGTCAGAGTCAGCAAACATAAGATTATGCAAGTAACATTGTACATAAGCCCCTTGCAATTTATTCTTATTGGATTGGAAGGATGTATATTCTGGTGAACTCTCTGCAGTGGTAGATTCTGAATGGAATAACCATAACCACCTGTCCTCCTCTCCTTCCAGCAGCTTCCTGTAGGTGGCGATCTCAATGTCCAGAGCCAGTTTCAAGTTCATCAGGTCCTGCAGGTGAAGACAGAATCAGTTTCACTTCACATAATTTCATTTCACTTATGTTCTATGTTTTCTTGTCTATCCTTTGTTTCTACTTATAGTTTATATTTTCCATCCATGTCTTCTCCTGACTCACCTGATACTCCCGGAGCTGTCGAGCCATATCCTGTTTGGATCTCTGCAGAGCTTCCTCCAGGTCTCTGATCCGAGCTTTGGCTTCTTTCACAGCAAGCTCTCCACGCTCCTCCGCCTCAGCCAGCTGGTTCTCCAGACTGGCACGCTGAAGAGAGGAAGGGAACAAGAGATCATCCATGAGGGACCTGAAATGCATTTTTCTGAGTTTAATGTTGCTTCCATGTGTACCTGTGCTTTGACCGCTTCTATCTCGCTCTGCAGGCGGCTGATCAGTCGGTTGATCTCGGCGATGTCTCCCTTCACGATGCGAAGCTCGTCCCCAAACTGGCTGGCCTGGACTGACATTTGGTCAAACTGCAAATAGAATAGCTGTGAATGGTACGAGGACCGCAAAAGAAAATTATTTCATGTAAAGGAGGGAATCGTGGACGTGCAGTGTTAGCACTGAAGATTATGCCTGGGACCTTTCTGTGTGATGTTTGCCTGTTTTTCCTGTGCGTGTGTGGGTTCTGTCCAGGTACTGTGTCCAAAGACACAGGTGTGAATTGTCTCTTTTTTGTGTTAGCCCGCAATAGACTGATGACCTCTCTGGGTGTACCCCGCCTTTCCATCTTGAATTGGATACATGGTTTCAGACTATTTTCAACCATCGGTTCTGCAGGATGTCAGTGAGCTAATGC